CTTTCCTTCAATCAAACTCACAACTCTTCTGCTATTTAGTTAATAATTCTGATATTTTCTTTGTACTGAATTCTTTATCAAATAGAAGCATAATTTTCAATGACCTACTTTTCTGTGTCTGGAACAAAAACAAGGAAGACAATAGCTCATACTATTCTCTCATATGTCTAGGAATGATTGTTGGTTATATTTTTTGGAGCAGTTCTGTTCCAGTTTCCAAATGCCACGTGTCCATGCAAGTTAGAATAGCCAAGGACTGTGAACCATTTCTACCACCTTTGAGGCCAGCAGAGAGTCGTAAGTGTTCAAAGACTTCAGATGTAGCATCAAGAAAGGGATGAGTGGCATTCTTTCTTCAGACATATAAAGGAGTCACGTGTCCTAGGAGCGTATGTTCCATTTCTGCAGCTATGATTTGTGCTATCGGCTAATGAAATGATCCCTTATTTTAAAAACAGCTATTCCTATGATGACAAGAGCCGGGATAAAGGCATATAAAATCAGAAAGTTTGCTGTAAATCTGGACGTTGCACCCGGGACGGTTCTCTCAATGATCTGAATTCCTTGAGTGAGGGTGCACATTGGATTACTTGTCACAGAATTGTTTGAGCTGCCTGTCAGGGGAAAGATGGACATGATCAGATTGGTTACATCCCAGGAAATTGAATCAACAGTATTTACCATATGCCCGCTAGGTGTTTGTCACTCTACTAAATACTTTTCCTGATTAAAGTCACAGGGCAATTTTTAAAGAGTCCAGAGTTCGTACTTCATGAAACAACAGTGAGTGTTCTGGGACTTGGCTTCACTGAAGTTCGTAGTGGATTTGTTTCTATTTTGGGGATAGGATCAATACCATGTTGTTCCTGTAAAGAGCCCCTGGAGGTGCAGTGGTTAAGTGCTCAGCTGCCAACCAAAACATCAGCGGTTCAAACCCATTAACCATTATGTGGGAGAAAGCCGCGACAATCTACTTCTGTAAAGATTATTTTTATATTTGTGTGCCGTGGAGTCAGTTCGGACTCATAGTAACCCTATATAGGGTTTCTGAGGCTGTAAATCTTTAAGGGAGCAGAAAGCCTCATCTTTCTCTCACGGAACAGGTGGTAGTTTCAAACTGCTGACCTTGAGGTTAGCAGCCCGACTCATAACCTCTACTCTACCAAAGCTCCCTTTGTGTAAAGATTACAGCCTCGGAAACCCGATGGGGGAAGTTCTGCCATCTTCTATAGCATTGGAATCGATAACAATGAAGATGGGTTACGTTGGGTTGGGTTTGGGAAGTTGTGTGTGCCATTGAGTTAACTCCAACTCATAGTGAGTCCACGTGACGGGAGAGCTGCCCCATAAGGTTTCCTAGGTTATAATATTTACAGAAGCAGATTGCCAGGTCATTCTCGCACGGAGCCTGCTGGTGGGTTTGAACCTTTTGGTTACCAGCCAAGTGCTTAACTATTGTACAACCAGGGCTCTGACATTCCACATAGAATACCTTATTCCTTACCATAGTACTGATACAAGTCACTTAGTAATGTTTGTTATTAAGTGCCATCTGACTCAGCAACTGTATAGGGTTTCTGATACTGTAAATCTTAGCAGGAGCAGAAAACCGTATCTTTCTCCCAAGGAGTGGCTGGTAGACTGAACCACCGACCTTGTGGCTCACAGTCCAGTTCTTACCCTTAATACCCTAAAATTAGGGACATCATCATTCTAGAATATTTAAACAGCTACGAACTTCCACCTATTCATAGATAGATTCCCTCATACCTTCTTAGGGGATTTGGGAGCAACTTTTTTTGCAAAAATGGCTTTACTCAGCTCATACTATGTGCATTTTTGTGGAGCAAGAAGCTACTTCAACTTGCTCTACAACCTGTTCAGTAACTAAAGAACTGATCCCACCATAATAGACTTAACATTTGCCTCAGCGCACATTGATGGCTGTTGGTGCTAAGTGCCGATGAGTCAGTTTCAACTCATAGTGGCCCTGTAAAGGGTTCCTAAGGAACAGTTGGTGGGCTTGAACTCCCAACCTCATGGTTAGCAGTCCAGTGCTTATCCTGCAGCAACATACCAGGACTCCCAGTGCACACTGTTGTTGTTGTTAAGTACCGTGGAGTCGGTTCCGACTCGTACTAACCCTACACAGGGTTTCCGAGGCTGTAAATCTTTACGGGAGCAGAAAGCCTCATCTTTCTCCCGCAGCACCACTGGTAGTTTCGAACTGCTGGCCTTCGGGTTAGCAGCCCGATTCATAACCACTATGCTATCAGAGCTTCTTTAGGTGTGTCATTTTTTTAGTAACATCAAAACGGCCTTAAGCTATTAACTTTTGACCAGTGACTAACTTGAACAACTGTTGTTGTTTTTTTTAAGTATTATTTTAAAAGTCAGAGAAAATGTTGGACTTCTTTTCCAAAGCAAGGCTTTAAATATTTTTTTATAAAATATAGCATTTATTTTAAAAATACATCTCCCTCAGGAAATTGCTTCCTCAGAGTAATGTGTCAAAATAATAGCTGAAAGTACAATGCTTACCACAAGTGAAATTCAGTCCATAGAACTCATTGACTACAAGAATCTCACAGCAATATTTTTGGAATGTAAAATAACTGATGATTTTTAAAGGAATGGGCATTTCTTCGATGTTTCTTAAAAAGAAAAATAGAATGAGATGAAACTCAATAGACTCTGGTAATAGTTGTATCAAATAAAAAGAGAGGTAATCTTTAGTTTATGTATTCCCGGCATGAATGTAGCTTTTCATTTTTCTATCACAAAAATTATGCTCATGATAAAAATAAATAAATAAGCTTCGGAACAATTCTGAAAATTATAAAGAAAGTAAAAGTCATCTGAAACATCTCTACCCAGAAATAACTATTGTTAACATTTTGGTGAACATGTGTTCTCCTATCTCTGTGTGTGCGTACAAGGCCAAAACCTGTCAAGAGAGGGAAAAATCAAGTATTTCCCACTAAAATTAGCAATAGAAAACTGGCAAGGCTGCATCCTGTCTAAGTGGGAAACTTGGAAAAATAAAACAGTCCTGTCAATTTCCGGCTCTTACAGGTTTCACTCTCTATATATGTGATATATAGATGTATCTACTCACATAAGGAGGGGCTTCAAAATTTTGTGGAAATAGTCATATATAGAGAGAGAGAAAGAGAGAGTGTGTGCTTATAAAATTTTACGTAAAAAGAATTAAACTCTTCATGCTCTTTATTAACCTGACCTTTTACCTCCCAAACATGTCTTGGACATCTTTCCAAGTCAGTAAGCATAGCACACACACCATCATTTTATCTTATAGCTTAATTTAACAATACCCTGAGGCTGGATCAGTGTCTCATTTTTTGTCTGATTTTGTAACCACCGATGATATAAACCTACAACACACTGCACTAGAGTGGCTATTTGTGACTAAAGAGACTAGGGAGTGTTAGTGTATGAAGTAAAATTAGACTTCTTGTTGTTAAGTGCCGTCGAGTTGATTCCGACCCATAGCGACCCTGTATAGGGTTCCCAAGGAGTGGCTGGTGAGCTTAACCGCTGACCTTGCAGTTCAAACGGCTTTGCAGTCTGGCACATTAACCCGCAGCGCCACTGTTAAATGGCGGGAAAGTAGGCATACTTTGCATCTTACATAACACAATTATCTCGTTCTTACTCAAAAAATATAAAATTCTAATGAGATACACAACAAAATCAACTCGGGGTGGTGACACTTCAGATAACTTACTTTCGTCCTGGCACATTTTTATATTGTGTGCATTTTTTTCCCCTCCTTTTTATAATGAAGGTGTGTTACTTTGTTAAAGTAGAACAAGCAGCAAAATGGTTTCCATTTTGTATAAAGGAGAAGGTAGCCATTGGCGCAAAATGCTTCATGAAAGATGGTGACGGGGGAAAATATAAATTTAATGATTGAGAGACTTATAACTATAAATGTGACAATGAGGGTATGTGGGAGCATCGTAGCTCTGTAGGTTAAGCACTGAACTGTGTACCACAGGGTCAGCGGTTTGAGCCCACCAGCTGCTCTGCAGGAGAAAGATGAGGTTTTCTGTTCCCACAAAGATGAACAGCCTCAGAAACCCTGTGCAGGTTACTATACGTCAGAGCTGACTCTGGACACTAACAACAACAACCAAGTATATGTGCCCCTCAAGAAAGGAGTATCACTATAGAAATTTGAGTGGCGATAATCCCTTGAGATGTTGAGATTTTGCAAATTACCCAAGGGCAACTATTAATGTTGACCCTTAGCTCACTTTTAAGAGCAATGAATCCTCTCTTCCTAAAAACCTAAGTATTTGACTCAGTGCCAAGTTGCTAGGACCATGTAATGACTCAAATATGAATCTGGAGACATTGCCTGCGGCTGGGTCTGTACTTGGGTAATGATGGCAGTTAGAGTCCCTATCCCTGAGATTATTTGATTTGTGTCTTTTTCATAGATGCGAATAATCCCCTTAAATAACATAAGACAGATACAATGTAATGGTGTCATTGGTGGGAAAAAAATTTTTTTAAGTCCACCTTATTTGATTAAAAAACTAGCTCACCATGCTTTTATAATGAATCAGTTTTGTGTAACTCATTACAGTTTATAAAGTGTTTGCACGATGATGATCTCATTTGCTCCTCATGATCCCCTGAGGTAGGAGGGGCCAAGAGGATTATCTCCATTTTACAAATGAGAAAACTAAGACAGAGAAGTGCCTTGCCCATATTCACATGGCCGCTTAGAGGTTGAAGACGTTCCTGACTCGTGAGTCAGCCCTCCCTCTGCGGAACCCATTCATCCTGGGAGAGCCTTCAGACCACTGTGGCTTGAGCAAAGTCTGAGCTTAGCTTTCTTACCTGGATCTGGCTTGCTCTGAGAGTTGAGTAATTAAATCTACAAATATCATGATATATACGAGGTGCTCGGTATTTTTTGTTTGTTTGTCTCTTGGTGTGTGTACAGGTTCCTCATGAGCACAATTAAGTGTTCCAGAATACTCATTCTCAGCTGAAGTCAAAGAATGAAAGCCTTTGTATTTTCTCAGGAACCCATAGTTGAGTTCATCACCCCCGCTCACTCCCCCATGCCTGGGATCATTTTTACCCTTCTAAAACTGTCAAACCTTCTTGCTACAACTTTCTAAAAGTTTATGATTTAAAATTCTTGACTGAAAAATGATGCCCGTTACAGAAAATTCATTAAGTATAGAAAAATGCAAAGAAAAGGATTAAAACAAATACCACCAAGTAAAAATCATTGTTAACATTTGGAGTGTATCCTTGTCGTCCTGCTACTTGTGTAAGCAGTTTTTTCTTCTTCATTGTTGTTGTTAAGTGCTGTCAAGTCGGTTCTGATTCATATCAACCCTGTATAAGGTTCCCAAGGAGCGGCTGGTGAGTTTGAACCACCAACCATGTGGTTCTAGCTGACCATACAGTCCAGTGCTGTATCCCACAGAGCAGCCTCTTTTCTTATCCAACTAGTCTCATTTCTGAAGAATAACTAAAATTGAGGAATGAAATTGTGCCCAGGCAGAAATGAACTAACAGGTGTGCTCTTTAGCCTGTAGCAGCACCTGTGGGTTTTTCTGGAGAATAGAACACGTTTTCCTAAGCTTGTTCTAATGGCTTATTACGTTAATCATATCAGTAACATGCTTACACTGCCATTTTCTGATGCACAATTCATAGACATTTTCTTGAGTGAATGGCAAGCGCATATAAGGCAATAACGTTTAGCAAGCACTTAAACACTGCAAGGTGGTGTCTTCACATAGCTCCCGTCTGGAATTCCTTTATAATTGTCATGATCAGGTGATTATTAACAACGAATCACAACAGTTAATGGAATCATTCTATCTTACCTCATGAGTCCAGATCCAACAAGGACTCCAGCAATGCTCAAAAGAGCCACTCCACTGTTGGCGACATTGGGGTTTTGGACGATACCAAGTAGCACAAGAGTTAGACATTCACCAACCAAGTGGGGGGCCAAGAGAGCCAAAGAGAAATATCCAAACCTGGCAACTTCAGGGTATAAGCCCAGAGTCCTAAAAAAAAAATAATAATAATCAGGTTTTTAGTCTCTCTCCAAGGGTTATCATTTAAGAAAATACCACTCCTGCCTCTATAAAATCAATTCATAGTGGTGAGTGAGGAGAGTTGCAGGACAAGCCAGCCTCCCTGCTGAAAGACCTTGGCACAGAGTCAGCATTTAGGACCATTTATTACTGCAAATGGTTTCTGTTGGCTCCAACTCAGTGTGAGCCACCTTTTCCTACAGCTCCTTCAGCTCTCTCACAGGAAAATACTAAACCATTTAGACCATGGTCACAACCAACTGTAGTAAGTAGGACTGCTAAACCCTCTCCCCCCCCCCCAGGCTTCTCTTAAATAATCGGATTCTGCAGAGCTAGCACCACTCCTACCTAGTGATAAGGGTTCATCCAACTGCCTCATCCCCTCCCTCCATCCTCACCCACCCGTGTGAAAACCCCTCACTACTTTCATCCCTGATCAGATTAATCCTCAAATGACCGATTCCAGGTTAGGTTGTTGTTAGCTGGTGTTCAGTTAGCCCCAATCTCATGAGAACCCCATGCATAAAAGAAACACTTCCCAGTCTGGCACCCCACTTGTCCCACCAATCAGACCCTTGTGATCCATAACGTTTTCCCTGACTGACTTTCAGAAGTCTATTACTGTTGTTCCTCCTAATCTGTCTTAGTCTAGGAGGTCTACTGAACCCTGCACAACATGATGGCAGCCCTTCACTGACACACAGATGGTAGCTGTGCTGAGGTACGCTAGCTGGAAATCCAACCCGGGTCTCCTGTGTGAAAGGCAAGAATTGTGCCTCTGAGCCCCCACTGCCCTCATTCCGTGGGATTCTACCATTCCTTCCCATTGGCTTGACCCTCACTTTGCTGTAAACAAACCACCCTGCAGTCCTGCACCTTTCCTCTATATTCCATTTACCAAATTACATTTCCCTGGTGACAATGTGTCCTCAGTAACCATTAGACCTGCTGCTCTTTCTTCCACTTGCGGTGTAAGGAAGAGAGATT